CTAGCCGCGCTGCAGGCGCTCGGCGATGCCGCCTCCTGCCAGCTGCTGGCGCGCGACTACACCGGCGCCCTGGCGCTCTTTACACGTATGCAACGTCTGGCACTGGAGCACGGCGGCCACCCGGTGCAGCACCCCGAGCCTCCTGGGCCCCAACCGCCCCCGCCGGGATCCCAGCAGAGACCTGGCTCGGCCCCGACCCTGCCCCTCCCGCTGCTTCCGGACCAAGCCCCAGGTTCTGCTGCGCCCTCTCCCCGCACACTGGGGGCCTTCGCAGACATCCTTGTCAGGTGCGAGGTGTCCCGCGTGCTGCTGCTGCTGCTCCTGCAACCACCGCCCGCCAAGTTGCTGCCCGAGCATGCCCAGACCCTGGAGAAGTACTCCTGGGAGGCTTTTGACAGCCACGGCCAGGATAGCAGCGGCCAGCTTCCCGAGGAGCTGTTTCTGCTATTGCAGTCCCTGGTCATGGCTGCCCACGAAAAGGACACGGAAGGCATCAAGAAGCTGCAGGTGGAGATGTGGCCGCTGCTGACTGCTGAGCAGAACCACCTCCTTCACCTTGTTCTGCAGGAAGCCGTCTCCCCCTCGGGCCAGGGGGTCTGAAAAGTCACCTGAACCAAACAACCTTTCCTCCTGGTACCGACTTGTTTCATCTTTGGGGACAGGTGATGGGAGATCTTGTGTTCTTGCTTTTATTTTTTTCTCTATTCTATTGCCACCATGGTAGTTTAGCTGTGCTTGCCTAGCTTGTTACATAAATTAATGTCCTCCAGGTCCATGCATACTGCCTCAAACGAGGTAAATTCATCCCATCTTAAGGCTGAATGAGACTGCACTGTGTAACAATCTGCTTTCTCTATGCGCTGGTCAGTTGCTGAATACTGTGTTGATTCATTTTCCTGGTTGTTATAAGTATAGAGACAATAAACATGGAAGGACAGGTGTTAAAGCAACAACAACAACAAAAAACCAAGAGTCTGATATGGGGTAAAGACCTAGAAGATCGGAGAACCAGGAGTCAGTTGCTTCCTTCCTTTCTCGTTCCTCGGTTGGAAAGGGCTGAGGTCCCGTCTCCACAGTGCTGGGATTAAAGGCCTGTGCCACCACTTCCGGCTTCGGTGGTTAACTAGTGGCTAGCTCCGCCCTCTGATCTTGTCAGAACACAAAATATCACACAACCAAAATGGACTCTGATTGTATGTCCCTACCGAACTGCACGCCTAAGATCCAAATGTGGCTGGGTGTGTGATTATTTGCCTTTAACCCTAGCATTGGAAAGGCAGCATGGAGTACCTTTACTGTGAGGCTAGCCTGATCTACATAAGGCGTTCCAAGCAAGCCTGAACTACATAGGGAGACCCTGTCTCAAAAACAAAATAAATTTCATGTGTATTTCACCAAAACACCTTTTGCTTCGAGACAGTGTCTTACCATGTGACTTAGGCTGTGTCGGAGTTCACTGTGTGTCCAGGCCGACCTCAAACTCAAGATCCTACTGCTCACACCTCCAGGGGACTAGGAATGCAGACGTGTGCTAGCATGCGCAGCATTGCGGTTTACCACAACTTTGGCCACATAGTGAGACCCTGTCTCAAAATATATACGCTATTTATTTATTTATTTGTAGTGTGTGTGCGTACACACACATGCACGCACTTATGCCATGGTGCCTGCCTGAAAGTCAGCGGACTACTTGCCAGAGTCGCTTCTCTCCTTCCACTGCATGAGGCCTGGACATCAAACTTAGATAATCAGGCTACACAGCCAGCTCAGAGTTTACCATAACCTTGATAAAAGTTCCCGGGCCTGGTATTGGGATGTAGCTGGCACAATGCTTGCCCAACAGACACCATTCCTAGCAACCAGAAAAACAAAACAAACAAAACAAATGACAACAAAATGGGTGTAGGGACACATACCTACAGTCCCAGTACTCAGTCATTCAAAGGATCAAAAACTCTGCGCACAAAGGTTGAGGCTGCAGAAGGCCGCATTTCAAAGAGAGGGGGCATGGGTGGAAGGGGAAATTTCTGGGCAGTGAGTCTTCCAGATCTTTTAGGGTCAGCCCCAACAGGACCCAGTGGCAGGATGACTGTCTGTGGGCTGTTTCGTCAGTAGTAAATGGATGGGACAATCACTGTGGTCCAGCTGGCAGAACAAACAGAGAGCTCTCTGGTGAGTTTTCTTGGAGAGGGGTTACCATGGCCCACTGGCTTGTCTCTGCCTTTTTTGAGTCTCAGCATCTGTGAGAGGTTTCTGGTTATCAGTTTTTAGGACAGCAGATGGCGATGTTTAGCAAACTTGGGCACTGACAAGAAACCTGAAACTTTGAACTTGGGAATTGGTCACCTCTTAGTAACCACCTTCATGACCAGAGCCAAATACAGTTTGGGACATTGTTGAAGACCAGCCTCGATATAACTCATACTTTCTAGGGTAGGAGCATGAGGATTAGAATTATTTAGCAAAAGGAACAGAAGTGAGAGAAATAAAAGAAACACGGATAGCATCGGGAGGGACATTCAGTGAGCACTGAATCCTGAACCCTTTATTTTCCACATGCTTATATACTTCATTCCAAAAGGGGAGGAGGGGGCAGCAGATTTCATTAACATGATGTAAGGAATCGCCTTGAGTTTTCTGACCTTTATAAAGTTCAAGTGGAGTGGATCCATCTCTACACCCCAAATACTAATCCCTAGGTCAGGAACTCCTCTTTGTAGCCACACCTGTTGTCAACAACTTTGAAAGAGCAAAAATAAACTCAACCTCTCTGACCTCCAGTCAAGGTGGAACAGGCTCACATCTGTGGATCCCCACAAGACATAGGACTTTTCTTCCTATTTAAGTTTTTGGGAGCTCCTCAGTGGTCCCAGGAAGGAAAGCAGATCATGAGAGAGAGAGACAGTGTGTGTGTGTGTGTGTGTGTGTGTGTGTGTGTGTGTGTGTGTACGTGCGTGCGTGTGTGTGTGTGCGTGCGTGTGTGTGTGTGTGTGTGTGTGTGTGTGTGAGTACGTGCGTGTGGGCTCGTGCACGCTACCTGGATTCCAATTCCAAATGCCTCTGGAATGCTGTTCTGCCAAAGTCCTGGGTGGAGGCCACCTGAAGTCTTTCTGGAGCCATGAAGAAATTCAGAGGCCTCCCAATGCTTGCTCCACCTTCATTAGCTCTGCACACAAGGCCTTCAGTAGTTCTGCCAGCTCCTCATGGTACTGGGTTTGCCAGCTTTCCTCAGAAAGCTAAATTTGAACCTAGCAGCCAAATTTAAATCCAGCACTTGGGAGGCAGAGGTAGGAGGATCTCTGAGTTCCATGCCATCCTGATCTGCAGAGTGAGTTTCAGGATATCCAGGGCTACACAGAGAAACCCTGTCTCAAAAAACAAGAAAGAGAGAGAGAGGGGGGGGAGAGAGAGAGAGAGAGAGAGGAGGAAAAAGAAAGGAAAGAAAAGAAAGAGGGAAGGAGGGAGAGAGGGAGGGAAGGAAGAGAAAGGAAAGAAAAAGAAAGGAAGAAAGAAAGGGAAGGAGGGAGGGAAGAAAGAGAAAGGAAGAAAAAAAGAGAAAGAAAGCAGGCAAGCAAGCTGAATTTGGGCTGGAGAGAGCCTTAGGAAGACCCTGGATTTCATCCCCAAATCTGCCACAAAAAAAAAAAAAAAAAAAGAAAAAAATAAACAGAAGAATCTGGAACTCTGCAGTAAAAAAAAATTGTCTTGGGTAGTTTTATATTTGTTAAAAGGAGTTATTACTTTTAAAGCCCTTTCATCACATTTGTGGGGCAGTCACCTGTGCCATCACACTTGTGCAGAAGCACAGGGACAGCTGGCAAAAGTCAGTTTCATTCTGACACCACAAATCTCTCCTTCCATCGTGTTAACTCAGGTCAACAGGCGTGGCAGCAAGCATGCTTCCCTGCTGAACTACTTCACCAGCTCCTTATATTTTAATTTTTACTTTTATGTGTATGAGGGTGTGTGTGTGTGTGTGTGTGTGTGTCTACCAGATGAGGGCATTGGAGCATTGGATTCCCTGCATATGGGGTTATAGAAGGATATGAGCTGCCAGTGTGTGCTGGGACCCAAAGCTGAGTCCTCTATAGCTCAGACATCTCCCCAGCCCTACCTTAGACATATTTCAAAATTAAGTCATATATATATATATATATATTTTAAAGGTTTGTTTTATTATCTGTTTCTGTGTACACCTGTGGGTCTGTGTATGTGGGTGTGGGTGCTCTTGGAGACCAGAAGAGGGCGCTGGATTCTCTGCAGGTGGAGGGACAGGCAGTAATTATGAATTTGAGAACTGGGTCACCTATACAGCCTGGTAACCAGGATGCAATTACTGTTGGAATCCCTGGAGTTGAAGTTAAAGGTGGTTGTGAACTTCACCGCGTGGGTGCTGGAAATCATACTGGTCTCCTGGAAGAGCAGCAAGTACTCTTAACTGATCTCCCTCCAGCCCCTCAGTTTATTTACTGTGTGGGCGTGGCGCATGAGTGTGACGGAGCATGCCCTGGAACCCAGGAGATAACTTCTGGGAGTTGGATCTCTCTCCCTTCTTCCATCACGTTTGTCGTGGAGATTGAACTCTGGTCATCAGACTTGGCAGCAAGCACCTTTACCCATCGAGCCATCTGGCTGGCCCCTTAGATGCATTGTTAGTTTTGTTATTGTATTTCTAGTCTATCATCATCATCATTGCGAAGAACAGCACACAGACAGGTTCAGAAGGCTTGAGCCAGTTGGCGGCCTGTGGCACAGTACCTTCATGGGGGTTAGAACCGTGAAGTGAGAGATTTCTTAAGCCATTAAATCAATCCTTGATTAGCTCCCTGGGCCTTGAGATGGGGTTCTGGGACGGACAACACAGCACTGGTTCTGGAGTAGCCTTCAGGGGTTGCGGCACACTGGTCTCTGGTCCCCTTGTTTGCCTCCGCTTTGCCTTTCTCCCTGTGCTCCGGTGTATACAGTTAAACTTCACGTATGTGGTTGGGACACAGCCTTGAATCCTTCTGTGGAACAGTGCAGGGAACAAGTAAACAGAAAACCCCATCTCCAAAGGATTAGATGCTTGATACTGGCGGAACCACATGTTAGTATAGAAACTATCTTCTCTGGGTGGCCAGAACATGAAATCACTGGGGGAGAAAGGACCAACTTCCAGAGCAAGGTGGCAGAGCCCCCCTGGCCTGAACCTCTGGCAGCCAGGATTCCTGATGTGGAACCCCTCGATGGGTATGTCCTTGTGATCTTTCCCCAACCCCCCCCCCCACTAGAGAGCTTATAAGTCCATAAGGCCAGACACTGTTAATGACTTTTCTGAAAAAGAAAAGATAGCTGTGAGGGTTAGGAAGTGGCTCGGGGGTAGAATGCTCGCATCACAATGGCAAAGTCCCTGAGCTTGATCCCCCAACAACGTAAGTGCATGATCCACGTGTGCACACACACAGAAGCCGAGAAAATCTAAGCGTAAACATAAAATAACACAGAACTGCTGATCCAAGAATGGCGTGGTTTAGTTTGGTTTGTTTTGTTTGTTTTTCATTTTTATTTCTCATTGCGTGTGTTCCTCTCCTAAGAAATCACCTTCCTCCAGATCAGTGAGGCCATCTTGGGACTCTCATACATGCCTCTCATACAGTGCTTGTTTGCCAAGATTCCCAAGATCCTTGGTTCTATTGTCTCTGTGTATACCTCCTTCTCTTCCAGGTGACTTGACACTGAGAATGGCTCTTGTCCATATCAGCCCAGTGTGTCGAGTATGGACCTTGACAAAAGCCCATGCGTGGTGGATGACAGGGCTTTCAGTCTGCATTTTCACAGAACCGAGCAGGTCTCACTTGCGGGAGCGCAGGTTCCCCTTCCTTGACAGGTGTTCTTCCTAACACGCCATTTTCAAACAAAATGTTTCCTAACTTCCAGCACCCATCTTGGCTGGCTTTTTTTTTTTTCAAGACAAGGTTTCTCTGTATAACAGCCATAGCTGTCCTGGAACTTGCTCTGTAAACCAGGCTGGCCTCGAACTCACAGAGATCCGCCTGAGTGCTGGGATTAAAGGCGTGCGCGTGCACCACCACCAAATGGTGTTGGCTGTCCATTTTAACTGCTCCCCCAGTAGAAGGGTAATCACAGCCTACCAAACCTGTGGAAGTATTTCCCTGATTTCTGTGAAGTATTTCAACCAAAGGAATCTGAGTATTAAAAAGTCATTCTTACCAATGAATTAAATTTCAAAGGATTTTAGAGATGAAAGAGATCATAGAGATTACTCAGAGCCCTGGATGTAACTCCTGCAGAGAGCTGAGCAGTGATTACCCTGAGGAGTAAAGGGTAGGAATACGTGACTTACTGAAGACCTCAGAGCTGCTGAGCACTTAAACCAAGATTTACACCAAGAGATAGTCAC